AAAGACGCACTTAATGGTCTTGGTAAGCGTAAACTAACGTACTGAGACTGATCATCATTTTTCTTCATCTCGCAACCATTGACATAGAACCATTTTTCAGAAGATGATATAGTCTGATTAAGTCGGTAGCCAGAAAGTGGGAACCCCTCTCATGCTCTACAATGAATTAAGAGTCAGGGACTGAAGCAACGGTCAGTCGTTAATTGAGCCAGCAAAATTTGTCATGCTGTATATAGCGAACAGCGTTCTTGCTGCATTTTATTCTCGCCCGTTTTGTCTAACGATGAAAAGTAAAGAATGACTGTCTTCTTCTGAACAGCTGTTTTTGCTTTGCAGTTGTGATTTTCTTTTTAGGATCATTCTTCCAATTATGCAGTCTTGGGTTAGAGCTGGAGAGTTTTCGACACTGGGTAAACTGAAAAGAGCATTGTACAACAACGCAGTATACTACGGCAGTTTACTACTGGTTTTTGGTTTTCTTCTGCTGTACGCCGCTGTAAAGGGCATCATTATCAGTGGGTGAGTGACTTGAACACATTGTTTTGATTATTTGCTTTTAAGCAAATGCCTTTTTGTAGGGAGAATTTAAAAGTTATTTGCATAACGACCAGCAATACATGGGGTTTGTTCAATTTGGTGCTTTTGCTTGGCTACGGCTTAGTTGAAGTTCCCCGCAAGATCTGGCTTTCAGGCTCCAAAGGCTACTCGTTGCGCAAATGTTACTTTCAGATAGGAAAGCTGTCGACCGAGAAAGTAGATTCTGAAGAATCACTTAAAGAGACATACAAGGAGACTCTCGCCTGCTGTTCCAACGCCGAAAACTCGTTCACTTACCGGGCACATGCTGAAGTTATATTACAAAAGGTAATTTGTACGAGAAGTTTTTACTGTACTACTGAAACTTCTTACTTCAGTGAGAATTTAGTTCTTACTGCATTCACAAACAGTGAGAGGGAAGGAGTTATGAACCATTGAAAAAATATGAAAAAATGCAAAAAACAGCTTTATTGTGTACAATTTTCTTACTAGTTTATCAGAAGATCACCGAGATTTCATTCTAATTTCAGGACCAGTTGATTGTTAGTGAGTCAGTCAGTTTCGATGGCACTTTATCTTCTCAGGTCGTTGAGACAATGTTTTTGATCCTGTTCTAGCGTTTAA